AAATGCAAATCAAAACAACATTGAGATATCACCTCACTCCAGTTAGAACGGCAAAAATCAAGAACCCTAACAACAACAGATGCTGGAGGGGATGTGGACAGAAAGGAACCTTACTTCATTGTTGGTGGGAATGTAAACTTGTTCAACCACTTTGGAAAGCAGTATGGAGGTTCCTCAAAAGACTCCACATAGAGCTCCCCAACGACCCAGCAATCCCACTTTTGGGCATTTACCCAAATGATCACAAACAAGGCCACACTAAAGCTACCAGCACAACTATGTTTATTGCAGCATTATTTACCATAGCTAAGACATGGAACCAACCCAGATGCCCCTCAGTAGATGAATGGATCAAGAAGATGTGGTATATATACACAATGGAATTCTATGCCTCCATCAGAAAGAATGACATTGCCCCATTTGTTAGGAAATGGAAAGGCTTGGAAAAAATTATATTAAGTGAAGTAAGCCAGGCCCAAAGAAACATAGGTCCCATGGTTTCCCTTATTTGCAATATCTAGTATAGGTATGAGTCAAGCGGAAAAAGTCAGATAATGTGATGTTAGGAAAACAAAACCTCAAATATGTATTTTAATGTTTTTGTTTCTTTCATGCATGTGTTTCTAATGCATTTATAAGATTATTTCTTTGTTGCTTTGTGTGTCCCTCCCCCACAGTGTAACCCCTGCTTTCACTATATTTGATGTCAGTATAACATGTGGAGGAGACGGGGACAAACAAGTCGTTTAAGGATTCAGGTGGACCTGTTGCAACAATGAGAAGTACAAAATGTCATGTCAAAACCAGCTTTACAATGTCGGTGGGGGGGGGGGAGGGGGGGTATGATTGGGTGGGAGGGAGGGGGGAGGCTGGGAAGGGAGGTGAAGGGTAAACAAAGGAGGAGGATGCAATGCTTGGTAAGAAATGTATGCATTATCCTGCCCATGTAATTGTAACCCCTCTGTACAGTATGTTCTCAAATAAAATAAAATAAAATTAAAAAAAAAAAAAAAAAAAAAACAAAAAAAAAAGAAACAACTGTCCAATAAATAAGTGGGTGAAAGACTTAAAGAGAAACTTCTCTGAAGAAGAAAGAAGGATGACCAATAGACACATGAAGAAATGTTCAACATCCCTAGCCATAAAAGAAATGCAAATCAAAACAACATTGAGATATCACCTCACTCCAGTTAGAACGGCAAAAATCAAGAACCCTAACAACAACAGATGCTGGAGGGGATGTGGACAGAAAGGATCCTTACTTCATTGTTGGTGGGAATGTAAACTTGTTCAACCACTTTGGAAAGCAGTATGGAGGTTCCTCAAAAGACTTCACATAGAACTCCCCTATGACCCAGCAATCCCACTTTTGGGCATTTACCCAAATGTTTACAAACAAGACCACACTAAAGCTACCAGCACAACTATGTTTATTGCAGCATTATTTACCATAGCTAAGACATGGAACCAACCCAGATGCCCCCTCAGTAGATGAATGGATCAAGAAAATGTGGTATATATACACAATGGAATTCTATGTCTCCATCAGAAAGAATGACATTGCCCCATTTGTTAGGAAATGGAAAAACTTGGAAAAAATTATAATAAGTGAAGTAAGCCAGGCCCAAAGAAACATAGGTCCCATGGTTTCCCTTATTTGCAATATCTAGTATATGTATGAGTCAAGCGGAAAAGGTCAGATAATGTGATGTCAGGAAAATGAACCCTTAGTTATGTATTTTAATGTTTTTTTCTTTCATGCATGTGTTTCTAACGCATTTATAAGATTATTTCTTTGTTGCTTTGTATGTCCCTCCCCCACAGTATAACCCCTGCTTTCACTATATTTGATGTCAGTATAACTTGTGGAGGAGATGGGGAAAAACCAGTTGTTTAAGGATACAGGTGGACCTGTTGCAACAATGAGAAGTACAAGTTGTCATGTCCAAAACGAGCTTTACAACGTTGGGGGGGGGGGAAGGGGGGGGAAGGAGAAGGATTGGGATTGGGGGGGGAGGGGGGAGGCTGGGAAGGGATGTGAAGTGTAAACAAAGGAGGAGGCTGCAATGCTTGGTAAGAAATGTACGCATTATCCTGCCCATGTAATTGTAACCCCTCTGTACAGTATGTTCACAAATAAAATTAAATTAAATTTAAAAAAAAAGAAATATCTGAAAGAAACCACTTACAGGAGGAAATAAATAATTGAAATAATTATTTTAGCTTCCAGTTTCAGAAATTTCAATCCATGGTTGGTGGGTTCTGTTGTTTCTCTGTGTGTGTGTGTGTGTGTGTATGTGTGTGTGTGTGTGTGTGTGTGTGTGTGTGTTCTGGTCTTGAGGTTTGAACTCAGGGCCTGAGTACATTCTTGTTAATTGGATATGAGTCCCATGGGTTTTCCTGCCCTGGCTGGCTTCAAAGAATGATCCTCAGATCTCAGCCTCCTGATTATCTAGGATTATAAGCATAAGCCACTGGCTCAGTTATTTCTATGCTATGGTGCAGCAGTATGTCATGTCAGATGTACATGAAAGAGCTGTTCACCTCATGGTGGCTAGGAAGCCAGGAGAGAAATGGAAAGGGACTGGGGATAAAATGTGGTCCCCAAAGACACTGTCAATGACCTACTTCCTCCAGGTAAGCTCCATTAAGTAGAGTTTCCATTATGCCCCCAAATAACACCACCAACTGCAAACCACGCATTCAACAAATGGACATTTCATACTAAAACTATGGAAATATATCTGCTTTAATTAGTCTGACACTTGAAATGTTTATGTCACCACATAACATCCTCTTATATAACCAGAATATCTGGGTATCTTTGGCCTATTCAAGTTGACAAATAAAATTAACCATCATAGGCTGAGAATATGGCTTAGGGGTAGAGTGCTTGCATAGCATGTATGAAGCCCTGGGTTTGATTCCTTAAATCCATATAAACATATAAAAGCCAGAAGTGGTGCTGTGGCTCAAGTAGTAGAGTACTAACCTTGAGGAAAAGAAGCTCAGGGAGGACTGGAAAGTGGCTTAGTGGTAGAGTGCTTGCCTAGCATGCATGAGCCCTGGGTTTGATTGCTCAGTACCACATAAACAGAAAAAGTCAGAAATGGCACTGTGGCTCAAGTGGTAGAGTGCTAGCTTTGAGCAAAAGAAGCTCAGACCCTGAGTTCAAGCCCCAGGACTGGCAAAACAAACAAACAAACAAAAAATAAGCAACATAGCCCTCTTAGCTAACAAATCTTCCTGCTCCCTTCCATTTTTTTCTATGAATAACCAATCTTCCAGATAAGTCTTTTCTTTTCTTTTTTTCTGTCGGTCATGGCCTAAGTGCTGTCCCTGAGAGCTCTTCAGCTCAAGGCAAGCACTCTACCACTTGAGCCACAGCACCACTTCCAGTTTTCTGGTGGTTAATTGGAGATAAGAGTCTCACAGATTTTCCTGCCAGGCTAGCTTTGAACCGTGATCCTCAGATATCAGCCTCCTGAGTAGCTAGGATTATAGGCATGAGCCACTGGAGCCTGGCTCAGATAAGTCTTTTAAATACTTTAACCTATACAGATATAGAAAATACATAGTGTGATAGCATACCATTTGACATAAATGGTATTATTTTTGTTACTTGTGGGGCTTGAACTTGGGGCCTGAGCACTGTCCCTGAGCTCTTTTGTTCAAGACTAAAGTTATACCACCTTGAGCCATAGCACCACTTTCGGTTTTCTGATAGTTAATTGTAGATAAGACTCTCATGGACTTTCCTACCCGGGCTGTCTTTGAACAGAAATCCTCACATTTCAGCCTCCCAAGTAGCTAGGATTACAGGCATGAGTCACCAGCACCCAGGTCATAAATGGTATTCTCACATACATACCCTTTTCTGATTTGTACTTTTTATGTAGTATTATGTTTTCAAGATATATCCCTGGGCTGGAAATATAGCTCAGTGGTATAATGTTTTCATATGGTGTATGAGAAGCTAGGTTTAATAACCAATACTGCCAAAAAATAAATCTGGTTGCCAGCCATGATAATACACACCTATAAACCAAGCATACAGGAAGTAGTAGGATTGTGAGTTTGGGGCCTTTGTGCATAGCAAGTTCCAGGCCACATTGAGCTACATAGCATACCATGTCTCAGAAAAGAAGGAAAGACAAACAGAGACAGTGACAGAGAGACAGACAGAGACAGAGAGAGAGAGAGACAGAGATTAACTGTTGACATAAAGGATAGTTTATGAATTTTAAGTTAATCATAGTCCTCCATTGTATGAGTAAGCTATTTTAATCATTCCTTTATTAATAGACATAAAGTTTCTTTCTTATTTGTTACTATATTGTTACAGTCCTTTAATCAGCATCCTTGTAAACATGAGAGTGTGTCTTTCTATATAGAAATGCAATGCGTGTAATTCTTTTTTTCTTATTTTGAGTGATGGGTATTGAACTCGGGACCTTTGTTCTTCTTCACTGAACTATTCTTCCAATACCTATGTAATTCTTTTGAGGGGAAAGAGCTAGCATAATGAAAGTTGGATGTAAAGTTTTAAGATAGTAATTTCGATTTGTTAATTCACTGTTTTTTATTTTAGTAATGAGGATAGAACCCTTGTCCATTGATAGGGACTTGTCCAAATTAAACACTCTACCTCTGAGCTACACCACTCAGGCACTGCACATTAATACCTTAGTTGTGATCAAGCCTCTGTTCACATGTCCATTATATCCTCTTTTCTTTTTTAAGAAAAGCAAAGATTTATTAAGATGCTGTTATAAGGGAAACAATGTGGACAAGTAGACAAGAGTATATATCATGCTGAAAAGATTGTGTATAGGTTTTATACCTTGGGTTAGGTTATTCTTGATTTGCTGCCTCATTGGCCGTATTGATTAGTTGTTCCTTCCTCAGATCATGATTTGAGTTTCATGTACACAGGAACATCTTGCAATCTCGGCTTTCACTTCCGCAGTCCATTTGGCCCATTTTGCCACTTGGCTTACCTCCACATTCTATTTGGCCCATTTTGCACACTTGACTCACTTCTGCATTCTATCTGGCCCATTTCATGCCCTTGGCTCTTCCGTGTTCTACCTTTCCCTTGGTATTTTTCCATCAGCCATGACTCCTTAAAAAGTGGGGAATTCTCTTCCATGCCCCCCCAACAGAACAACAAAACTACTTATGGTTTAAGAGGGGTAAAGATTTTTCTTCTTGTACCTGCTTCCTGCCTGGTAGAGTCATAGAGTTGACCCTGACTATATATTTGTCATTCTGACAGAGGGTTATAGAGCAGTCTATGGGGCCACAGCGGGGTGTACTTGAATACCAGACAATAATTGTATGGAAGCTTTGTTCTGGGAGTTAAGAGACAATGAAGGTTCAGATGGTAGAGGACAGAACCCACATTGTGGCATCATGTGTAACTTCATGGACAGGTTCCAGATACTCATCCAACAGGCAAAGGTAGTATGCCCAAAGAAGGTAAAACGGGATTTGAAAGAGAATGGAAAGATGGAAGATAATTGTCACTCATAGCTTACATGGATTCACCCAAACTCCTGGCTGAACTTTGAATGGCTCTTACAATTATTGCTAATGACATAGAAATTTTACCTTGAGAGTGATGGGGATCTATGAAGTCTTACAACAAAGGAACTAGTATCAGCAAATGATCTGAATGGAAGTATGGAGTATGAACAAGGGGGCAAGCTTGATATTAGGAAAGTCTCTTAAGAGGCTATGATAATAGCTTTGAAAATTAATGACAAGACCCTAGAATAAAGCTCTGACAAGATAGCTAGAAAAATGGAAGAGTCCAGAGTTATTTGGGAACTGTGATAAATACAACTTGGAAGCCATTGGATAAAGGAAGTAAACAGAAGGTATGAGTGCTTATTTCTGCCATTCACCTGGACAGGAAATATAGGAGATGCAATTGAGAGAGAGAATATATTATTGTTTTACTTTTTGGTGCTGCCAAAATAAAATGGAAACACTTTAGCATAGTATTCAAGGTCCTCCATGATCTGGCTCCAAATTACATCTCCACATTTGTCTGAAATCAGTCTCCAGTAGAGTTTTTCCCGTTTCAGATTACTAAAAGCTGTCCTTTTGGACTGAGAAACTTTTCCTAAATCTCTGCCTCCTCCTTCACTTATCTGAATGTCAGGAACATGCCAAAGTATAGCAGAGAAAAGAGAAACAGAAACGAGTAATGGAAAAATGCAATGAATACATGTCTATATGTACATCTATATGTACATATAATATAAATATACACTCATTTAAGCTGTATTCTTGTTAAAAAATAACCCAGTAAATTATTTGTCTGTGCCAGGCACCAGTGGCTCACACCTGTAATCCTAGGTACTCAGGAGGCTGAGATCGGAGGATCACGGTTCAAAGCGAGCCCAGGCAGGAAAGTCCATGAGACTCTAATTTCCAATAAATTTTCTGGTGAGAAAACCAGAAGTGGCACTGTGGCTCGAGTGGTAGAGCACTAGCCTTGAACTAATGAGCTGAGGGACAGCTCCCAGGCCCAGAGTTCAAGGCCTACGACTGACAAAAAAAAAGTTTGTCTGTGTCCATGCCTCTTTGTAATGTGATTTTGTTGCTTCTCCTATCCGAAAGTGGAGTGTGTTTCTCTTCCCATTGAAGCTTGGCTGAATGACCAAGTAGCTTGCTTTGACCCATAAAATGCAGTCAATATGACATCCTGAGGTTTATGAGTCGAGGGAGGGCTCAGGAGAACTAGCAGCTTCTGCTTTTGACATTGAAACCCAACTTCCTGTAAAGAAGTCCAGGTTACCCTGTCAGAAAGGGGCCATATGCACCAGGTGTTAGGATCTCCCATCTGTAATCCTCGCTACTGAGGTTTCTGACATAAGAGGATCACTCTTTGAAGCCCACCTGGGCAGGAAAGTTCATGAGACTCTGATCTACAATTAAACACTAAAAAGTCAGCCTTGAGGGGCTGGGAAGGTGGCTCAGTGGTAGAGCGCTTGCCTTGCATGCATGAGGCCCTGGGTTCAATTCCTCAGCACCACATAGGCAGAAAAAGCCAGAAGTGGTGCTGTGGCTCTAGTGATAGAGCGCTAGCCTTGAGCTGAAGAGCTGAGGGACAGTGCCCAAGCCCAGAGTTCAGGCCCCACGACTGACAAAAAAAAAAAAAAGTATGGTTGTTGGGCTTGGAATATGGCTTGGTGGTAGAGTGCTTGCCTAAAATGCATGGAGCCCTAGGCTTGATTCCTTAGTACCACATAAACGGAAAAATCTGGAAGTGGTGCTGTGACTCAAGTGGTAGAGCCATAGCCCTAAGCAAAGAGAGGTTCAGAGACAGAGACCAGGCCTTGAGTTCAAACACCAAGACTGGAAAAAAAAAGTATGATTATTTTCAGGCTCTGATGGGGGGAGGTGGTACCAGTAGGAATGGGATGAAGAGAGTGAATAACAATAAATATGGCTGAAGTAGCTTATTTTCATGCACAGAAGTAGATCAGTGAAACCTATTGAATTTTTTTTTGGTCAGTCGTGGGACTTGAACTCTGGGCCTGGGTGCTGTCTATCAGCACTTCAACTCAAAGCTAGCATTCTGCCCCTTGAGCCATAGCGCCACTTCTGGTTTTCTGGTGGTTAATTGGAGATAAGAGTCTCAAGGACTTTCCTGCCTGGGCTGGATTTGAACCATGATCCCCAGATCTCAGCCTCCTAAGTAGATAGAATTACAGGTATGAGCCACTGGTGCCCAGCTTGAAATTGTTTTAAGGAGTAAGAAAAGAGAGAATGATAGAGGGGTTGGATCTGATAAGGACATATTGTATACAAATGGAAATGTCACAATGAAAACCCCCTCGTACAACTCATGTATGCTTACAAATAAAAAAGGAGTATGGTTGTCTTTAACAGTCACTCTCTGGCTCAGAAATTCCATTCCTAGGTCCATGCCCAAGAGAAATGAAAGAGTTATATACATGAATACTCAAGATGGTGTTGTTACTCATATAACAGCTAAAAGGAGAAACAACCTCCAATGGATGACTCATTAAAAAAAAAGGTCTATCCATAAGATACTCCATTATAAAAAGGAATAAACACTGATTTATACTATAATATGGATGGACCTAAAAAAAAAAAGTGATGCTTTACACCAGGCACCAGGGGCTAATGCCTCTAATGTTAGCTGCTCAGGAGGCTAAGATATGAAGGATTGTAGTTTGAAGCTAGACTTGACAGAAAAATGTGCAAGAATCCAGATGCAATTAACCACAAAAATGCTGGCTTCAAAATGGTAGAGCTGAGAGCATGCAAGCCAAATGAGATCAAGATCCTATGTTCAAACCCCTATAGCACCAAAAACAAAAACATAATTAAACTGATGGTGCTTCAAAATTAAAGACAAGCAGGAACTGGTGGCTCATACCTGTAATCCTAGCTACTCAGGAGGTTGAGATAGAAGGACTGTGGTTCAAAGCCAGCCCCAGCACATACTCTATCTCAAATTAACCACCAGACTGGAGCAAAATAGCACAGGGACAGTACTCAGGTCCTGAGTTCAAGCCCCACAACTGACAAGAAAAAGATAAAAAATGTTAAAATGCATACAACACACACCCACACCCACACACATACACACACACACACACACACACACACACAGTGCTTGGTGCAAAAACCCAGACACAAAAGGCCACATACATAATTCCATTCATTTGAAAAGATCAGAGTAATCAGTTGGGAAGATGGGAATTTGGGAGTGATGGTCCAGAGGGTATATTTGCTTGCTTGCTTGCTTGTTTTCTCTTTCTCTTTTCCTTTTTTTGTTCCTTTGTTCCTTTATTGCTTCCTTCATTCCTCCCTCCCTCTCATGGACTTTCTACCAAGGACTTTCTGCTGGGCTGCCTCCAGATCATAGCCTCTTGTTTTAGGTAGGATTAAGCATAAGCCATTGGCATCTAGCCATGTTTCATTTCAAAAATGTTATATGAACAGAAAGTTTTCAAAAGTTTTTTCACATATAGTGAGAAATGTGTGCAGCACTACAATTCTTCAAGAAGCCAAAGCCCTCTTGTGTTTCTTACACCCTTTAAGGAAATATATTTTCTACCCCAGAGTAAAAGAGTAAAGTTGGACAAATCTGGTGGTGTTCTAGAACCCTGTAGAAATGGGCATTGTTCAATAGTGGTTTCAATATGAAGAAAACTATCCCTTCATCCCTAAATAATTCACATACAACTCCGGGCCTAGTGGGAAGAAAAGCTTCTGTGAGGGCTGGGAAGGTAGCTCAGTGGTAGAGTGCTTGCCTTGCATGCATGAGGCCCTGGGCTCGATTCCTCAGCACCACATAAGCAAAAAAAAAAAAAAAAAAAAGCCGGAAGTGGCGCTGTGGCTCATGTGGTAGAGCTCCAGTCTTGAGATGAAGAGCTGAGGGACAGCGCTCAGGCCCAGAGTTCAGGCCCTAGGACCAGAACCAAAAAGAAAAAAAAAAAAAAGCTTCTGTGAGATTCTCGTATCATTCCTATTGATAAAGGACTAAATTCAAACTTAGGCTAAGAAAAAGGTGTGGTTTTTTTTTAACTCATATTCTCACATATTCTATTTCATATTCCATCTGGTGACCAAACATTCCTATTGTTTAAGGCTGTTAAAAAGTGTACTTTTCTTTGAACCTAAAGATGTCACTGAATTCTGATCATATAAAATAATATTTATGGCCAGGGGCCAGTGGCTCATGCTGTAATCCGAGCAACTCAGGAGGCTGGGATCTGAAGATCATGGTTCAAAGACAGCCTGGTTAGAAAAGTCCCTGTGAGACTCATCTCCAATTAATCACTCAAAAATTGGAAGTGGAGCTGTGGCTCAAAGCGGTGGAGCACTGGCCTTAAGCAAAAGAGCACAGGAGCTCAGGGATATCTACTGGTCCCTGAGTTCAGTCCCCACAATTGACAAATAAATAAATGAATATATAATTAAATAAACAAATACTTATTGAAATGAACTCCAGGTAATGGTAATGGTTGCGTTTTTCTTATTTTTGTCTTGTTTATCTATCTTAGGAGGATAAAGGGGGCACAGAAATGGAGGGACAAAGGGTGAACAAATGTGGCAGTGATATTCATTAGATGTTGAAAATAAATTATACAGCTTGTGGGATGA